ACCGGGTAATATTCTGTAAACACTCTCTATCCGGGTAACATTCTGAAAACACTCTAACCGGGTAATATTCTGTAAACACTCTCTATCCGGGTAACATTCTGAAAACACTCTCTATCCGGGTAACATTCTGAAAACACTCTAACCGGGCAATATTCTGTAAACACTCTCTATCCGGGTAACATTCCGAAAACACTCTAACCGGGTAATATTCTGTAAACAATCTCTATCCGGGTAACATCCTGAAAACACTCTAACCGGGCAACATTCTGTAAACACTTTTCTCCGGGTAAAACTTTGTAAACACTTTCTATCCGGGTAACATTCTGTAAACACTTTTCTCCGGGTAAAACTTTGTAAACACTTTTTATCCGGGTAACATTCTGTGAACACAAACGAAAATGAGAGTGGAACAAGTTAGCTCAAAGCGAATGTTGTTGATGTCATTCCTGTTCTGACTGAAAAACAAATCACACTACATTTGTGGTGCAATGTGAGGTTGTATAAGACACCCTGTACTTTAACTACTTACCTAAAGCGTTAATGCAATTTCCCAGGGCTAACAAAGACTTGTTGATATGCTTCCCTTCTTTAAGTCGTTGTCCGGTGTTCTTAAAGATACGAAAAATTACAGTGAGAGTAAGGATCAAAACCTTTATGAAGGCAAAATACTTAAAGGTGAAATGATGATAATCTTATTAACATTCAAAGATCAAACACTAGGCTTACAGGAGCGATTGTACTGAATTTGTAGAATAAACTCCGGCTTATAAAGATTAGTTGCTTTAACCTTCCTCCAAGAAATCCACAGTGTTACCCACAGTTGCTTATTAACCTTCCTCCAAGTAATACACAGTGTTACCCATAGTTGCTTTAACCTTTCTCCAAGTAATACACAGTGTTACCCATAGTTGCTTTAACCTTCCTCCAAGTAATCCACCAGTGTTACCCATAGTTGCTTTAACCTTCCTCCAAGTAACCATAGTGTTACCCACAGTTGCTTATTAACCTTCCT